GACAAAGCGAATCTTCTCATTCGAATTGAATAGGAGAATAAGACGTGCGTTTAGAGCCTTACAGAGAAGAGGGAACCGAGCTCGTCTTGCTCAATATCTCGCGAAGATGTCCTCGTGATGCTGATGTCCAGCGATTGTTCTATCCAGGAGCTCGCTAGGATTTCGGATTGGGGGAAGCTTATACCGAAAGCTCGAAACCCCATTCGCAGTCGCTTGGAAACTGGGCGAGACGTTCCATCGTATGTAAATAATCATAATTGATCCAAGAAATCGCCCCCGGCTTCTCGATAAATATCATTCTGACGCTCGGAGCCACTGCCAAATACAGCTCAGATCGCTGAATTAGCATCAATAAGCTTCCACGAAGTCCGGCGTTTACGTGACGATGATCACAATCGATTGATCGGGCCGGAAGTATACGGTGGTCTCGACGCCCGCCCCGCCACCGCTCCAATGGGTTTGCAGCCTAAGAGCCCTCCCCTCAATGTAACTACGTCCTTCGAAGCGTTCGTCACGGAGACGAGAACCAAACCGTGGACAGCTTCCTGTTCCCTCGGAATCGCCTCCTGCGGTATCGCTCGTTCGGGGAAGAGCGCTTCGGAACTTTGAACTCGAACCGCCGTGCGGTGAGGCGATCTTTTGAGCATTCGCGGGAACAAAAAAAAGATGCGCGCTCCTGACCCATCGAACGGTCATCCCTCTGGAGATGAAGGTCGGAGCGGTGGCAAAATATTTCAGCAAACCCTTGTTAATCAGGGCCGTCGGGGGTCATTCCGATTCAGTTCTCTTCAGTTTGTTTGCTCGCGCGCTGGCCCGCTCGCTCGCATGCTGTTGATGAACATCATATCGTTGCTCAAGCTTTCGTTGGTAGCGGGAGCGGCATCGATGACTGTTACTATGCCTCCAATGAGACGTAGTTGATGTTGTCGTGACGAGAAATTCATTCATGAATTCAGTCTTTCATGGAAGTCGCGAAGTTTCCTAACCCCGTGTTAATGAGCCACTAGCCCGAATCACAAAACAGATAAAAAATAAACACGCGGAGGGTAATCGAGCCCATCGAATATGATTGATGGAGCGTACCGCGAAGAGAATATCGCACCCCGCAACAAACTCAATCTAGCAGTCACTCCTGTTGAGCCCGTCGAAAACAAATAAAAATTCGGGGTCCAAGAATCTCTGATGGAACGCGAATCGATTCACAATTCCCTGATTCTTCAGTGCGAGAAACCAGAGCCATGAAATCATATTCGAGGCGCCTGCGAGCGTGAGACTGTCGCCAGCACCGCGCGCCGCTCGAAGCCGGAATCTGCCTCTCATAGCTAGAAAACCTCAGAGAAAGCGTTTTTCTTTACGCAATTTCCAGCATAATTATTCTGGTGATGGTGACCTTAGCAAATGTGACTGCACTTGTAGTGAACCTACCGTTCCGCCTTTTTTTTCTCCATCTTCGCGAGCGTTTGTGCGACGACACGAAGCGTTGTATAAATATTGGCGGAGCGGCTCCAGAGGTGAGTCGTCATCGTTCGCTTTCAGCGGTTCCCATCTTCAAGTTCGGAATGTCGTGACAATCCTCGTAACCTTGAAATTCCCCCCATCTAAAAGTTACTGGTATTCAAGATCGATGTCGGCGACGGTGGACTTCGGTCAGGTGGCGTCCCTGATAGGGAAAGAAAACCGCGCAGGACTCGTATAACTCTCCCAGTCAGTCGATTTCGTTGCGTCACGGTTGCACACGAAAACATCTCACAGACAAAAATCATCGGGTCGTACCGATGGACCGTCGAGCATAATAGCTTGCGATGACGAGTTCCGAGCTCTGATACGCTTAATATCTTTGCCGCCAGATCTATGATAAGAGTCGTTGTTATCTTCGCACAATCTTCAGAATGACTTCGAAAGTGCTTTCGCTTGTGCCGGTCGTTGTTGGTGGCTTACGAGGCGTGGCATTCCCGTGTCTGCCTTCCGACGAGGCTTTCACAACGACACGACAAGAGGTACGACACGGCGACGACTCCATCTTCCTAACTACTTGTGACAACGATTACTACGAACATGAGGCGTCAAGCCTCTCCCTGCAGATTCCTGTGTTTGCTCCCCGTTTTCCCCGTTACAAGGAGCAAAGGTTCAGGGAATCGATGCTCACGCAATCGTTTAGTATTGGGTCGACCCTGATGGTACTTACCACGGGAGACCTCTCAGAAGACTTCCTAATTGGCATCCATCAATTTCATTCCTGAGGTTGAAGGAGCCGATACCACGGCACAGCTTCTTCATAAAATCGCTTATCATCATCCGTGACGCCTCTGGATGCTTTCGTGAATCATCTTTTCACCTTCCCATCGATGGAGACTGCATTGTGTCCTCCCGCCCCCATTCCGATCTTAGCGTTTCGCGAGACGCGACCGATTCATTTCCGAGAGAATTCCGCGCCACTGTCCGCGTGATCCGCGAAAATCGATGCCACGGGTAGATATGTCCCGAGACAAGGCTGAGGTGCGGCTGAACGAGTCGGAGTTCGAAAACGAGCGCCGGGAACACTGTATCGGATAGCTCGCGATTGTTTTTCTTGATGCCACTGCGGCAATTGTGGCCGTGGCCCGAAGCGACAGAACTCAATCCATGAAGAAGCTGTGAAAGAGAACGGTGCTTGCGTCACAGTCAACGTCGCCGCCTCGCTAGTCTGTAAGGCTCTAAACCATCGATAGTTACGATTCAGCCGAAGCAGATAGGTTTCTGCCGCAGTCGCCGAGCTCAATGAATCGGACGATGGCGAATTATTGGAGGGATGAATCTATCTATGCCAGCTGAATTGATCGACGCGCAAGCGCCATCGCTCCATTACACGGCTCAGCCCTCCGATGCGACCGCGCGCTGTCGAGAAGGTCCTTCGAAAGGTCTTACGGACCGGAACGAGACGGTGATTTTGTCACCACGGCCCACTTGAGATTCGCCCTCACGTTTTTCAGTAGAAGGAATGCAAAACAAACTAACAGGAGAAAACGGTCTAGATATTTCGCACGATATGGAATCAAACAGAAAAACGGACTTGTTGAAGCAGAAAAAAAGTTCCCGTCGAAGTACGGCACTGCTAGAGTGCGAAAAAAAGCAACCTACAAATTTTTATCTGCCATTCATTGCACGAAACATCTTTCTGGGACGAGAATTCAAACCAAGTGTTCTTGAAATTGACACATAGTGTTCTGTTCGAAACTGAGATCGATACAATCGGCCGACCGCCAGAAGTCCAAGTCTGTGATTTCGACCATGGGTTCGATAAAATTTGACGCTGGAATTCTCACGTATTGGGAGTCGAATACTCGGCGCCCGAGTTCTGCGCGATTCCGCAAGATTGCACCCTTCGCAAGCACTGTACGTCCTCGCGACTCCGATTTTCCGCGCGGGTTCGGAGAACTCGTCCGATTCAGACTACGAGTCCAGTATACGCGCATAGATGACACGGTCTTTGCGGAGAAAGCATGAAATCCAAGCCGATCAATGGCGATCAAATCGGTCCCTCCACGAAGTTGGGTCTCTTGTAATTGTCATGACCGCAGGCTTCATGGACGATTGAAGTCAATGGCGCATCTCGTTCTCATTAAACACGTACAGGGATCCACGATGTTGCGTCGAACGAAAAAAAACAGGCTATACTTCTTTGGATGTCGAAGAATCAATTAATCGAACTTATGGTTGCTTCCGTCGCGAGCCCATGCGGTATAAATATCACCGATAGCGTCTCACGCAGATAACGTGTTCCCAAAATTGTTGGCCCGACACTGAAATCGATCCATGGATTAGAAAAAGCGACGATCCGGTGACCTGCACCTCTCCGACTGTCGGTTTCCATAAGGTTCTACCGATTCGGAGCGATCATTGGACAAGCGGCAGCTATCGATAATAACATGATATAATTTAGAAGCCTGGTGCCGGAGTCTCAATCGAAGAAGGTGTAGTGTTTGTTTCTAAATAGAAACCCGCTGTCGATTCCTATTCCGGGAGACCTTCGTCGACACGCGCTCTTGTTCTTCGCACATGACTCACAACTCCGCACACATGACGTCAGGACAGGCTAGAGCATGTTCCACAACAGATCGAAGTCAGCTTGGAAACTATTCCAGACTTGTGCGGTGTCCCGTAGAGAAGATCGACCCAAATTCTAATTGAGAGATACTGTTCCGATGCGAGCGGGTGGGGGTGCTTTCCTTGACAATCGCGGTGCCGAGCGTCGTTGGGGGAGACATTGTCAGCCCCTTCTGGGGACAAATGATTTTTCTGTTCCCGGTGGCTTCATAATGATTGATCGACGCTCAATGGATCGCTTCCCGATGGTGGCAATGGTGCTCGATACTGACTCTCCCTCACAGCCGTCGCCAGACTCATCAATTCCTTAAGATTCGCACAGTCTATCGTTCGGAATCGACATCTTATCAATACACATCCGAAATCGAGCTTCGTACACCCCCTAAACGGAATGCCCTTACGAGACAAAGCGAAAGGAGCAGAAAAATACTTTTCACCTCACGTCAAGGATTTCAGTGAGCCGCCGTTTTCGCAACGAATCCAGATTTGATTTTTTCCTCCCAATTTCAATGCATTTCAAACTGACGGTTTTCTGTCTGTTCGAAAAAGTCATCCTCCCATCGAGCGAATGACTGAGAAAAATCGAAGCACGCAAGGATTCGAACAGCTTTCGAAGCTGTTTTTATGACAAACGATTGCGGCTTACTTGATTGACGGTTGCGACGTCGATTGTCGACGACTGCCACTAAGCCCGCGCTCGTCATCATCGACTGGCGAAGTGCAAGCAAATGGAAGAACGAACATCGTCACGTGACCCGATCGCATTCAATGGTCCTCACGAACTATCTATAAATCGATCAGTCAGTCAATCAATCAATCTAATAATAATCAATCCACGAGGCTCAGTGTAGATAACGATTCTTGAGCGGAGCTGAGAGAGGCGATCACGGCTAATTCACGTCTCTTTCTCCTTACAGCAGTCGCCATGGTGGCGACTCCCAAAGAAGTCGAGGTGGTCGAAGCCGTCACTGCGGTCGACACGCCGACCAACAACAGCAATGGCAATGAGAGTAATAAGAAAAAGTCTCGCAAAGAGCGCAAGCGTGAGAAGAAGGAAAAGAAACTCCAGGAGAAACAGAGAATTGAGGAGGCATTGGACCCTGCTGTTGAGTTCGCCGAGCCTCCCGAGGAAACAGACGAGACCTTGAAACAGGCAATGCTCCAGGAATTCAGAGAGTGGGTGAAGCTACAGCCCCACTTCGTCAACTGCCGGACAGGTGAATTCAAAAGATGAACCTTATGAACCATATCCATTCATTCTCGATTCGAGTCCGTATCCTGCATTCGTCTCCTCTCTCAGGACTCTCGGATCAATATCTCTTTCCATGTGTCAGATTTCTAATCCTGTTCCTCCAATCTTTCAGATGACTCCTTCCTGCTGAGATTCCTGCGTACGAGGAAGTACTGTCTCCAGTCCGCGCAAGATACGCTGGATAGGTATCTGACAGTTCGAACACATTACCCGGTGTTCTTCAAGAATCCTGACTTCAAGGAACCGGGCTTGAGAGATATACTTTCTCGAGGATATATATTCCCGCTCCTGGAGAAAGATCCAGAGGGTCGCACCATCGTGTTCGGTCTAGCCGGTGAGTGAATCCACTACAGTCCACGCGATAGCCGAGCTCTAGAAAGGGCCCGAAAAGAGTTGAACTCTCCTATCGGGAGCATTCCGTTTTCCCGCGCGAAATCGTCGAATTTACCGCGATTCCCCCTCGAAACAGTCCAAGAGTTCCAGCTCCCCTCTCTTATGACCAGTTAGCTTAGCATCCGATCGAACGGTGGCTGTGAACGATTCTCACAGAAAATTTTCCAGAGATAAACGAAAGGCTTTTGTCAGTGCGTCCCCGAAGCGCGAAACTGTGCCATGGTCGCTCACCGTGCTCATGGGTTCATACTGTAGCCCTGTAGTCCTTCATACAGATGATATCCAGCGACGACAACGATCACAACAACAACAATCCACTCGACTGATAAGCAAGAGTGATTAGGTCAACTTCCATCAAACCGATAAACACATAGGCGCATGACGTTCATCACAACTGAGGCTTATCGTACATGGGATCGACTATGGTTTCGAAGGGATTGATAGAACGCTGGTCGCCCGCCCCGCATGGGTCTGTGACCCTGCGTCCAAGGGTCTGGCATCTGAAATCACGGGGCACCGATTAGAGCTCGGTCCTCCCGCTGTTGAGCTCAAGTATCCGGTAGAATGAGTTCACTGGATCCTTCCGGAGTTGACCCAATGCCTGCGCATGGGGGAGACCAGAGGGCCAGTGCTCACCGCTAATTGATGCCCCGTCGTCTCCTAGCGGATCGCGTGGCAATGCGCCCATCTGAACCCCTAAACGTGGACCGTGCAGATACGCAGCGACCGATACCACATCGAGTCGGAGAAGGAGAAGTCGCATGTGCAGAACAAAGGCGTGAGGCATGGTCGGCAGGGTCGGAACATCACACTCGACGTGGAGGATTCATGAACGAAAAAGCCAAGGAAATGAGCACTGATCCCGAAAGAAGAACGATAGCACACGGAAACATCTGTTATGCTCCGACCTCCGACTAGTCCAACGATGTCCTGGTATCCTGTCGAGTCATCCGGTAGAGATTACTTATCTGAAAAACGCGGGAGCCGACTCTCCAATGGAAAGATCCCTTCGTTTCCCGTTCGCAGGGACGAAACGCTCCTCCACGCTGCGTACGAGGTCATAGTTTACGGCCCGTCCCTTCGTCGCAGGAATGGGCTAGCTATTCAAGATGGGCACTCATGGAAACGATTTCTATGAATATTATTCCATTTCAGGCGCACTGGACACGTCGCGACACAAACCGAATGACATTTATAGGGCTTTTTCAATGTCCTTCGAGGCTCTCCTCGAAGACGAAGTCAATCAACGAAAAGGTTTCACCTACATAATGGACGAGTCTGGCTTCAGACTCCATCATCTAGCTCATGTTAACCTGCGTGACGTGCAACGAGTATGTAAAACTCTTATTCATGTACCCGGCATCTTCATTTTCCCAATCAAGAATGATAGCTCTCCCCTTCTCGCTCGCCTATACTTCCTAGGCATCGTCTCGAAGCTGAGGAGTCGGACGAAAAGGATGACTTCCTCCACCTTCTGACCTTCAATCGTTTTTTGTAGGTGATGATTTCTGGTGAGAAGGGCTACCCCATGCGACACAAATCCATTCACTGGGTGAATGTGCCTCGATACATTTCAGCATTGACAGACTTCGCTCTGAGTTTCTTCAGTCCGAAATTGCAGAATAGGGTAAGGTTTGCAATATAACCTGTATCCGTATCAGATCCCTTTGGAGGGTCGCCCTGAATCACCAGCTCCGGGAACGGGGGTCCTAGGGCTATTATTTTGATAATAATCGATGTCGTGTCGGTTTCCTTCTTCTCCGTTGTAACGATCGTTTCCCTCATCAGTTTTTAAAAATGATCCTCCCCAGATGTTCGTCCACACCGACGTCACATCTCTCCACAAGGAATTCGACCCAAAAATTCTACCCTTGGAGTTCGGCGGGTCCGTACCGTGGAAAGTCATGTGTGGTGAGTATGGTATCAATGTGATGATTTTTTCTTCGTCGTTCCGAAGCCATACGCCATGCAATCCTTCCCCTCGTGAATGACGGCGACGAGTAATGGTTGTCATGTCTCTTACAGATAAATGGCTAGAGGAGCTAGAGCGGAGGTATCCGCGGATAATGGAGATGGATGCAATGGGTGTTGACGAGAAACTGCGCCCGAAAGAGTCAAAGTGTCGCATAAATGGTTCAGGAGGGGGTTGGGGTCTGATGAGGCTGTGGACATCGATTACTCGCTTGGATATCTACTCAAACAATTCCTAAAGCCTTATTCGCGTGTCTCGCTCGTCAGAAGCGATGCGGCTGCCCGACTTCCTCAATTAAACTTCGTCTTACACAAAGAAGCATTTCGACCTCCGTCGGATCCTACTCACCTGGAAACATGGAATCATAGTTAGACGCTCAATCAATCACTCAAACAGTCGACGAAGCAAACAAGCAAGCAAGCTAGCGAGCGAGCGAACGGAACATCAGCCGATCGAGCGAGGATCGATGAGAGACGTGTGTGTGAAGGATGACAAGGTCAACATACTGTAACGAACTGGTGTAGAGCGAGTCTCCAATCTAAAGCCAGAAAGGAACAATCACGCCTTTTTCTTCTGTCTCTTCTTCTCACCTTTCCCCATCGACGATCACTACCCAATCACTTCCATCACGGTTCACATTCCAGCCCGCAGGACTCTAAGGAACTGGTAAAGGTCTTGAATTTTCTTCACGTTCAAAATAACCCAGAGCACAAAATTCTATTTATGATGAATTCTCCTCGGCGGAGGCCTTCATTCCCTGCGCCGCGGAATATTATCCCTGTCTGAACTCGTCACTGACCCTCGCACGAATGACCCGGCTCCCTGCACCCCAAAAGCTTCCGGCAATTCGTTGCCTCTGTCGTGTGACTACTCGTTATGTCTGTCCATCCTCGAATAATCAGGAAGAAGAGCTCACTCCGTTCCTGAGGTCAATAGTTCTCACGCATGCTGTCCGGTTAAAAAAAATCAGAGAGAACTATCTGACTCATCCGAAGAACAAACGCTCCTTTTCCGAAGCTGCTATAGTCGCAGATTGGCGTGGAATTCGATCTGTGCTCGGTCTCTGCTGTCGGTCTTGTCTTGTCCTGCATGTCAATGTTTTGTGTCTTATCCTCGCGTCCTGTCTTACAGAAACTCTTTCCAATGAAGACTTCCTTCACGTTCCTGAGTGGCTTCGGATATGTTGCGACTTCGATCATGGATTATTATTCACTAGGGATAATAATCTCCTACGTTGTAGGCAACTTTCGGTGTTGCGAGAGCTCGTAACTCGTTCCTGGCTCTCCAGAAACAGCTAAATTGCTATAAACATTGTAATCGACTTGCCCAGAGGGGATGGGAGATAGTGCGTGATTGTGAACAACGACAATATATCATCAATAAAACGTAAACTTGGGAATAGTCGTCACGTCTCTTCTCATTGCCCCAGACTTTACGCACGGCGGAGCCTCCGGCTCCTGCTGAGGATATCCTTCCGCTTTGTTCCCCTCTAGTACCTACGACGCGACGTGTATGCCAGCGGTCGAGGACAATGGGCGTCGACCGCAGCGAGTTCCGCATATCGTCATCAGAGTGGTCAGGCGCCGTGGCGCAGCTCGCATTAGAATTGCGTCTTGATTCCTTCGCGTAACGCTGACGCGCCATACTCAATGGAGACGGTTTCCGCTCCTCGATTGTCACGGCATCCGGTTATCGATGGCCTGACCTTACCATGACGACGTATCGAACATACGACTTATAGGTGGCCGCACACCGTTGGCGACTCGACTCAATCAAGTGTTACAACCTGTTTTGAAGTTATCGCGAAACACCGTTAAAAAAAATCGAAATGGCTCCGCAGTGGCTATCCGATCAATTCACCGCGATGCGCTTGTCCTTCATGGACTCCGCGCTACCGGGACTCAAAGTTATCTGTGGTTTCGGCAGTCCTCTGAGAAGACTCGCTTGGTTTCTGGTGTTCTTAGCGTTGCTGGCGCTGACCATAAACGACATCGTTAATCTGGCAGTGGAATACTACAAGTATCCGGACAGCTTGAACATCAAGTACGAGGAGCCTGAGGGTGGAGAAGATATGCCAATGCCTGCAGTCACGGTGTGCAACCTGAATCCGTACAAGTGGCATGACTTCTGTAAGAAGCTGGAACTGCTCCTCGGTTCTAGGTAAATTCATCGTCCAAGAGACTGCTCGGCTTATGCCTCTTCCAGAAAGCATCCGAGAGGAGACTCAGATGGCTCTCGCCGCTCAGTATAGGGTTGTCGGATCCACGGGGGTCTTCGGGGAGGAATTGAAGGCTTCGCTCCAAAGGAATCGGAGACTCAGACCGCTTCCCGATTCTTTTCCGATACAGTCGACTCGTGAGCGGAGCAAATCCCTTCACTGTCTTCCCCGCAAATGACTCATCGTCCTATAACGATATCGAAAGATAGAGACGATGTCTACATAAGTGCGCTCTACTTGTAGAATCGACCCAGCTCACTTGTGTGATCGTAACCCCTCACCCCTCTATACGATTCCTGCCTTGCTCAGCCTCCGACGCCCTGCTCCTTGTCAGCCGCAGACGTTCCGGATTGACATCATAAATATTCGATTCCAAGTCAGGTACTCATCCAGAATACGACCTACGTCCAAATGGTACGACTGCAGAAAGATTACTGCAAGACTGGACTCACAGAGGATGTTCGCATACCGGTGTGGAATCTGACCCGAAATCACTTGATCCTCATGCATTTTTTCACCGAGTGGTCCGGAGCCCTCCAAAGGTGAATATGCTTCCTTCGGGATAGGAACAATGAATATCGAATCCAATGTGCATTGATTTTCTCCGGAGTTCTCTTTCGGAGTTCCCTCCAGCCTCTGCCTCCGAGGGAGGAGGGAGAATCCCCTTCATGTGAGCGCCTCGATAGGAAAGACAGAATTTCTCGATCAGGAACCCGTCGACCGAGGAAGACATGAGCAGTATCTCGCACGGCTTGCAGGACATGGTCGAGTTGGCTTCGTTCGACGACGCATGCGACATTTTCCCAGGGAACGACACCAAAGAGCAATGTCGCGTAGAAAGAGAACTGCTAGAGCCAACTCCGAAGATGTACCCGCGATATGGTAATGATGCGTCTCAATCGTTTCCGTCTAGTTTTCTGAGCTCAATGAAATCCACCTCCTAGAACGTCTCTTTTCTCCAACCAGGGAAATGCTTGTGTTTCTTCTGCAATCACACGACGGACCCGAAAAAAATAGTGAGGATGGCTGACTTCGACGGACCCCATAAAGGGCTGATGCTCGTGCTCAAAGTCGGCGATAATGAATATCTGCCCTTCATCGTCGAGGCCGGTTTCGTGATCGCGATCCATGACCAGGGAGTCGAGGTCGATTTCACGAAAGACGGGGTTTTCATACAACCGCTGACCACAACCTACATTGGTTCGTAAGCTCGTGCGTATCATATCGCAAATGCCCCGGTAGAGGATTGAAGAAAGCCTTCGTTTCGCTGAAATGTGTCTCATCAAGGGAAATTAGGGAAATATAGTCAAATGAATCGTGAAGTTTCGGCATCAGCCCCTGTGGATGCCACGTGTTTCAAGACAAAGAACCCTTCCAGGCGTGTCCCGACGGGTCCTGAAAAGGCTCGCGGAACCCTATCAGAATCCCTGCAGGTCGGATTGGCCCCCTTACTTGAAACGCCTCGTCGAGGATACTAAGAAGTACACGGCCTCAGAGTGCCGCGAAGTGTGCGCTCAATATCTGATTCAAACGACTTTGAATTGCACCTCACTCGCATATCCAATTTCGCGCGTCAAGGATGGCGACGGGTATAAGGACTTCAGACTGCAAACTTGCGGTCCAAGTTTCGACGAGGGTATGAGTCATATCAGGAGAGGAATGTATTATCGAACGGTCGATTGCGATTGCAAAAATGTTTGCGAAGAAACAAACTTCGACAAAACGACCTCATCGCTCTCGTGGCATCCTATCGTGCAAGCCCAGTCTATGGAGGACAAGGACGGAACCTCCATGGCCCAGGTGAGCGAAGCCAGAAAATCGCTTTCAGAATGCAGGCCTTTTTTCCGGTTGCTACTAGCTTCTTTGTTCCAGGTGTACGTTTACATGCAGTCGAATTTGATCAGCAATAGAACGAAGGTGGGCAAAATGGATGTCCGCGAATTCGTCTCAGGCATCGGCAGCATCATGGGCATGTACTTGGGATACTCTTTCTTGTTCTGCTGGAATATCTTGGATGTCCTCGGTCGTGCAGCCCTTGAGACCTATCACACTTACCTACGGCAGAAGGCTCGACAGCCCTGAACTCAATGAAGCGATGCTCCCCCCACGGATATTCGGATCCGATGTGACAAGGGATCCGTTCACAACCGAGACAGAATGAGAACACGTTCCACACGAGTGTGAATATTTGAGCTGGTGATTCATAAAGGAGCAATGTGTGAATTTCTCGATATAGGGGTGTACATGTGTCATCGCTTAGAAGCCGTCAGGACTCGATTGTGATAGTGGGACGGTTGGAATATCTGCGTAGCGAATAGCTGAGATCTAAATGAGCCGTGGACCTCCAGGAATCCCTAATTTCCCAGGGACATGTCAGTGATCGGCTGGTACAGAACTGTACCTTCACGTGAGATCAATAACTTCATCCGATATTGAGGTGGAATGTATAATCCTAGCGCTCTCGTCTTCCATCGAACCAGAATAGATGGGCGGCTCAGCCAACATCGCGGAAAATGCTCACCCGAGGGACACCGTGGCAGTGCTGAGCTTCTGAGAACATTATGATTGGGGATGAAATGATTTAAAACATTCCTTGAACGAGTTTTTTCCTGAATGATCTGCATCGACACGACTCAGTTTTCGAACTGTGAAACACCGACGGGACCTGCGCCAAGCGACATTCAGAGGCTGACCCGGGACCGCACAAGTTTCATTTCTTCCGAAAATTTATGATATTGAATTGAAGACTCAAGCGGCGAGCTTGATCGAGATGAATGATGATACGATGATTGGTCGATGACTTGAAGCTGCTGATTAGGGAATCAAATTTTTTCGGATACATCTAGCCAACTTCTGCCGCAAACTTCGCTAGGTGGTCTCCTTTCTCCTATTCTTCGGATGTGGGGAGTGCTCGCTGAAACACGGAGGCCGGTATTTTCTTGCTGCGGTTCCTCGCGATTCCTGTCGGTATCGAGACCGAGTGCCCGAATCGAAAATTTGCATTCGCTCAGATCCCGGTAGCGATTGACATCGGTCGAGGCTCGAGAGACTCTTCTCGCAGAGCAGAAGAGCTTGTTCGACCTTCTCCCGCCACCGTCTCCGGGGAGAGTTTCCTATGCGTCACACTGAGACGGGAATCATGGCATGTTTGAATCCGCTCGCAATCGGAGCCCCTCTTGGACGTTTTTAGCTCACCCGGGGCTCGGTGGCTTTGGAGCGATCGATGATGCGAGGTCCTTTGTTCACTATCGGCATTGAGCGTGACCTGCTCACCAGGCATGGGGTGTCAGTGCATTTTGAATGCCGCAGATTTTCAGAATCCGCCGGCGTCTGAGCGATGACTCCGGGCTCCTCCATAGTCGTCAAGGAGGGAGACAGATCTTCGGAGCGATGTACTAACAGCGAGGAGACGCATGATTCCCGGTTGCGCACCCTTTCATCGTCTTGGAGACAAAGCATCTAAGCAATGTAGAAGTTACTTCCATCAGGGCTCGGACCGCTAAAGCGATGGCGAGCACACGATCAGAGAAACAAAAGGTAGAGAGTGCTATAGACAAGGGAGAGAGCCAGAAAGAGCAGTTCGGCTACGCACGTCACGTCTCGATGGATCACCTACGGAGACCTTTCACAATTTTCGGGGCATGAAGTCAAATAGACTCGGCGTGTGCGTTACCACATCCTGTATTGAGCGCTCAAGTCTCACAAGTCGGCGAACCTCGGTGTGTATAGCCACGCGCGCGATGTCACGAGAGCCTGGATCGAGAAAGTTCGTTCTCTTTGGTCGGTCGGAGCATGGAAAAATGATTCCGCGCTGGTTATCTGATCAAATAACAGGTCTCCGCTTATTGTTCGTCGACTCGGCGCTACCAGGGCTGAAAGTGATCTGTGGTTTCGGGAGTCCTGCGCGTCGGGCAGCTTGGCTTTTGGTTTTCCTGGCCCTGTTCGGACTCACGATCCGTGATATCATAAACCTCGCAACAGATTTCTATAGATATCCAGACAGTCTTAACATCAAGTACGAAGAGCCGGAGGGGGGTCTCCAGATGCCCATGCCCGCCATCACTGTGTGCAGTCTGAACCCCTACAAATGGGATCTGTTTTGCAAGGATATCGATGAACTTCTAAAACTGAGGTGAGTGCTAGATTTCGCTTATCATCCCATTCCTGCTGGGAGGCTCTCTGAGAATATCTAGAAATTCCTCGAAGACGCGAATCGGCGGATAATTTCCGACGAGACAATCTCTTCGGGTCTACGACTACTTTGGTTCGACTACTTGCATGTATTCAAGGCATGAGAAGGAGAGAAAAGAGCCGATACTTTTTCAGCGTGAGCTTGGTATCCGAAGAGACTCAGGCCAATTTGACGGCTATGAGGATTCGATTCTGCCCAGAGGATGGAGAACTTGACAACAGCGATAGGCTCCCAGTCTGGAATCTGACTGAGGAGTACATGGGACACATGCAGGAGTTCACCGAATGGTCTCTCGCTCTGCAGCGGTGAGTGAGCTGCTCCTGCCGTGAGGATGACCAGGATTCCGTAGTCACGCGAAACTACCCTCTGACCATACAGGAGCAGCGCCTCAGCCGACAAAATGGAGAACCTCACCAGCTGCGCCTCGGAGACGATAAAGCTCGCGACGTTCGATGGCGGATTCTTGACCGAATGTGATTCCTCAAAGGAGAATAAGACCGATGCTGAAAGAGAGAACTGCAGGAAAAAGGCTCGTCACAATCCGGAACCATCTGGAAGAATGTTTCCGCGCTACGGTACGAGCTCCTTATCTAACAGAAAAGCTCCTCATCGCTGATCCGCATTCGGACAGGGTCGATCGGAGAGTGGATGCAGATGGGACTCCGATATGCGCTGTAAGATGAAACCGTCGGCGCTCATGATGATGAAATTTCCGCTCCAGGGCGTTGTTTCTGTTTCTTCTGCAACTATACTAAAAACGAGAGTGAGAAGATCCGGCAAGACAGTTTCGACGGTCCTCAGAACGGACTTTTGCTTGTCTTGCGAGTTGCTGAAGAATCTTATCTGCCATTCATCGTGGAGGCGGGATTCATCGTAGCCATTCATGATCAAGGAGTAGAAGTAGATTTCACCAAGGACGGCGTTTTCGTTCAGCCGTTGACCACCACCTTCATCGGTATGTCGACGCACTCGTACCCATCGATGCTCTCTGTTTAATGCAGATATTATTTGGAAAGCGAAGGAGGCTCAGATTTTAAGGGAGCGGGAGAACGGAATCTCTCTTATGGATTATCGAATGACACCTCCGCAGGCGTGCAAAGGCGTATTCTGCATCGGCTCCCGGAACCATACCAGAATCCGTGCCGACCCGACTGGCCCCCTTATTTGATCGACATTGTCGGGGACTCGAATAAGTACACCGTATTCCAATGCCGAGACTATTGTCATCAGTTCTGGATACAAAAGGAGGTGCGGTGCACTTCTCTGAAACGATTCATCCTAAAAGTTAAGAACGAGTCGTCTCCTACCGGGTTCTCCGAGAATCGTTTGCGAGAATGTAAGCGGCAAGATTTGCCCGCGGTCAGAAAAGTGGAACTTGCTATCAAGAACAGAGAGATCGATTGTGAATGTAAAAGCGTTTGCGGAGAAACCACGTTCGATAAATCGATTTCGTCGCTCGCCTGGCATCCCCAAAGCCAGCTGGAATCTGAGGAGAACGCCACGGCTGGAACAGCTTCGAAGGTCTGTAGCGTTCCGCCCGATCTGACGGGCTCGAAGTCTTCCGCTTTTCTCTGATAACATCTGAAATGGATGCTGGCGCTTCTTGCATGGACCACCTTCTCAGGCGACAAGTCCGTCGCACGAACGTGAAACCTGGAGAGTTCTAATTAGAATGACCGCTTGTTGTTCCACCCCTCACAGGTCTATGTGTACATGCAATCAAACCTGATGAACAACCGGACGAAAGTTCCTAAGATAAACACACGTGAGTTCGTATCCGGGATAGGGAGTATCATGGGCATGTATCTTGGATACTCTTTCCTTTTCTGCTTCAACATCCTAGATGTCCTCGGTCGGGGCGCTCTAGATACCTACCATGCCTACCGGAGAGAGCAGAAGAGAAGGCTCATACAGGCGAGCCAATAGATCAACTCATCCGGCTCTATCAGGTGCTGCGAAGAAGCTCGACGTTTCAATTATTACCCCATTCACAATTATGATGCCGGACAACATTCAAATCGGAGAAACATGGATGGTTCCTACTCTCGCTCCTTCAAAGAATTGAATGCTGCCTTTCGTCGATGCGAGTCCTCCGATCGAGGTTCCGCCTAGCTGTTCTGACTTCCTGTGGATATCTATCTGGAGCTGTAAATAAACTTGAGGAGTATGTGTATGCCAGCAGCGTCTCTGGCCAAACAATGCAAGCTTGAAATCGACTCTTCTGACAGTGTGACATCGAGGTCGCGTCAGTTCTCTATGACGACTCTTGGGAGTCGGATGCGATCTCGCGAACCACGACTCGACTCGTCCCCTCCTCCGACCCATGCCCGTCAATTCGGAAAAGGCGCGTCCGTCCTTCGGTACACACATCGTACGGTCAGCCTCAGTCTGAGGGATTCCAGGCTGGGAAGTTCTCGGTGATTGCAGGCCGCGGATTTCCTCGCCGTAGATTTGCTACTCAGCGCTACACTGAGCAATAGTCCAAGAGGTGTCGAAAGTTTCGAGGGGCATCTCGAGACGGGGGAGGGGGCGCTGGACAGTATCTACCAGGGGGCTTGGGCGGCCCTCCCCTGTACTTTCGATAAAGGAATCTTGTCAGGGCCTGCAGCTAACTTTGTCTTCCCTTCTGCGTTTCTACGTGTCGATTTTCTTTCTGGGAGCCTCCTCTCATTCCTCGAATGACGGATACATAGTGAAAGGATTAAGAGGCGACGGCATCGTCGACGAGAGTCGGAAGTCCGCTTGAGGCAGACGCCTGTGACAGCGCGTGTGTTGCGCATGACTTCCCTTGACCGCTCCTGAGATGCTGAAAGTGTTTGTCGATATGGTTGAATCATCGCAGACCTCGAGCTCGATGGCGTTCCTCCCGTCAACCCTGGGATCACTTCACAACAGCTCCTTCCGAACTGGATCGTAGAAGATAGATGGACCTCCCGTTTGACATCCAACCGGCGACTACCTGACGGCTTCTAGAGTTCGTTTGATGCTCAGGTGACTATACCCAGTCTGCTCGGTTCAAAAACATCAGAGGCCCGCGCGGAATTTCTAACTTGGCACAAGACTTCTGTCAGTGTCGGACTACCCTTTCGGCAGTGTCGAAGAGGACTCTCGATATCGAAAAACAATAGCTCTTTCAATTCGTTCAGTTTCAATCGGTTCGAAGGAAGTTTCGAAATTCATCCTGCGGAGATGATGTCGATGATAAATATACTTGAAAGATTCCATGAATAATACTACCAAGGTATGGCGCTCTATAGGGCAATAATTATTCCCAGAATCCCCCAAGAGGAAATCCTCAGGTGCGGGGTTGCTGAGCGGGTGAACCTTTTTCGGCGGTGAGTTCAATTCCCGTGACGATATCGAGTCATAATCGAGCGACTCTCCATGCTGGAGTCTTCATGGGGAATGGTTGCGACCCCTATGATTCGAAGACAGATTTGAAGAACAGCCCTATATCGCTTCATGAACCTCTTGGAGTTGTCCATGCATGAACACCTTGCGATTCTTATGATCTTGCTCTAGCACGGAGAAGCAATGGAAGGCATAACAAGGACATCGAAGACTTTCGGCGTGAGTAACCCGAGTTCTTTAGTGTCGCTCATGATTTCGTGGTAGTCCTTCCATCATTCTCACTGAATAAGCTGAATTCCGAGAAAGGATTCGGAACGTTGTGGCGAGAAATATGACTGACGACAGAGTACCCTGTCATAGCTCATTCACCGAACGGGCGGATCCAGTGTGATCGCATATCGGCTGAGAAAAAAACCGATTCTGAGTCGGAAGTCCCGAGGCGCGGTCCGATCGCGAAACGTTAGTAGAACTTCAGGCTGTCTCTGAGTAAAGGTTTCGGTATGACGGCTCTTCTCGCTCAGGGAAGGAAAATACTCCTGCTAAGAATAATCCAAGAATATCAGACGACGGGGAAGCCGGAGAAGATAGGCTTGTTCCGAGAGAAATAAGACATCTGAGGCGGCAATTCCTCGCCGTTATGCCTGCTGATAGCTGACACGCCGAACGACATCCGAGGTGAACATACAATAAAATCACTGGTTTACGCTGACGTCGTGTCTCCACCAGAGCTGTGCGCGGCGCCGCGCTGAGCATTGCAAGTCCCATGGCGCGCCCCGGCGCTTAACCATTGAGTCTATGGCGCCGCGTCCTAGGTACGGCGCACAGCTCTGGTCTCCACATAGTCGCAGTCGCCTCTCCTGGTAGGAAGCCCCAGTGGTAGGAAGCCCTCCCATTCTTCCGACGGAGGGAATGATCTGGAGTTGGAGGTGGGGAAAAGAGATTATTTGAGCTCCGGAAGGGCGGTCGCTCGGACGACGCAACTGAACTCTCCTAGAATGACATAAGATTGAATACGTTTCTGAGTGAGTTCCGTTCTTCCAACAAGCCGTGTCAGCTTCGCGCATCGCTGACAGATTGCCACGGCGAGGGAATATCCTCGAGGTCAGCGATCAGAAGGTCACGCACATACTGGCCGATACAGCATTGGAAGTGCTAGAAATAAGAGTCTCCTTCGGTACCTGCATCGGGTGGCCTCCGGGTTGCGTGAGGGGAACGCGCCGCGCTGCCTTGATTCCTCTTCAATTAGAACGAGCGCAGGCAAGGTGCCCACCACGGGAGAGCGTGCGGAGTACTGCTTTCAGCAATAAGGAACCGGTTCCTCTTACCGCTTTCCAAGAAGAGCTGTTGAGTGTATGATCCAGAGGAGAGCTTCGAGCCGAAGTCAACCAAAATATCAGAGAATCGCAGTAGATGACAAGGCAGAAAAAGCGGACATCCTGCTGGAGTGCCCTATCACGCCGTAGGGATGACCGACGACGGATGGACAGAGGCCCGAAGAACGAACGCACGTTTGATCTCGAAGAGCCGCGGGCTCATTCACTCCGCGGAATCGAAGTCTATTTTGCAGGTCGTGAGAGTCACCATACGGGAAATTGGGGAAGCGACACCACATTGTCAGGTGAGCGGAAAAGAGATGGGGTGCATCAGTAGCCAAGTAAACACAATCTGCTTCACATCACAAGTCCATCTTTATTTCATCATCAACTTACTGTTATAAACAACTCTGTCATAAAACTTTCCCCATCGATCTGAGGGCGACCTTCGATGGTCGCACAGTCCCCTATTCGTCATTTTTGTCACTAAGCCTGTCGTCTTCTTCATAGACATTTACAATCATTCAACTTCACATGACATCATACACGTGCTATGTGGATGACTCTTTCGAGTCTGACTAGAATTCCATTCGAAACACTCTATCGATCATCGTTAATTTACATTGTCTCGATCGTCGTCCGGATCCATTTGAGCGCTCGCTCAACTTTCGCATAAACTCCCGGTCTCTGGCCGCAACCCTCCCCGAACGAGGTGATGCCGTAGACGCTCCATTTTTTCGTCACTTTATCCTGCGCCAGCAGCGGGCCTCCGGAATCGCCCGCACAGGCGTCGATGCGGCCTTTCTTGTATCCGGCACAAATCATGTTGTCACTGATGAGGTACTCCTTATACAAACGACGACACTGATTATGCGGGGCGATTGGCACTTCTGCTTCTCGCAGAACATCGGATCCGTTGGCGACGCCTTCGCGGGTCTTGCCCCAACCGAGAATCGTACCCATTTCTCCGATTTCGAGCGATCGTTCCGGTAGACATGCGG